CTATAACTTCTACCGCTTAGATTTTGTTGCTTTTTAAATTTTCCTAATAAACAATCGTGGTACAAAGCTCAATAAAAATATTAAAAATTAAAATATATTCGTAAACGTTTGGAATTCCTATGGGTAATTCTATTTCCCCAACAAAGCTGACAACCTACTGGACAATAGCCAGATATGTGGACATCTTTGCTATAGTTAAACGTAATGACGCGAATATTTTCTAGGGATTCTAAACAAATATCACAACAAACTCAAATTTACGATGGAAATAGAGAAAAATTCAAAAGTCGCTTTCCTTGACGTTTGCATACATAGGGAAAACCAATATCTTTTACTTGACTGGTACCCTAAACCAACTTCATCTGGAGCCTAATAAATTATAATTCATCGCAACCAACTAAATATAAGAGGGCATGTTCGAGACACGTAATAAAAGCGGCAATACTGCAGCACTGATGAAAATTTGCAATACTGTTGCAACTTCCCAATTGATAAAACGTTGTTAGAAATTCACCGAACCGAACCTTAATAATTCAATACTGCGGTTGTGATTGCATCTCGAATAAGCCCAGATTAGCGCAGCAAAAAACCTCATCCCCAAAATATTGACGATAAGCCACACACGATTCCATGACGTTAACATAGAGAAAATAAACAAAATCTTAATATGCAATAATTATCCTGCTAAATTAATACGAGAACTATTGAATCAACAAATTATGAAAAATAGCATCCACCCAAATGCAACACCGAACATAGACACAACAAAACCCACAAAGAAATTTTACAGTGTAACGTATATTTCCAACCTAACCGACAACTTTGATCACAGCATAACTAAACCACAAAACACAGCACTTGCCTACAAATCCAATTACACCCTTTCGATAATATACACAAAAACAAAGTGCCCAGTAGATGTCCACCAACAAAGCGATTTAGTGTATGAAATTAAATGCAAAGGAAAGGAAAATGAAGAATGCGGAAAAGTGTATATTGGGACAACTAAGCGGCCTTTAGGTGTTCGATTAGGCGAACATGAAGCTGACATTAGAAAACAAAAAGCAATACAGCATTAGAACAACACATTACAACAAGTGGACACACAGCAGATTTCGCAAACGCAAAAGTTAATGACCAAGAAAAAAGAGAGTCAACCCGATATACATTGTAGAGCCTCAAAATAATGAAAAGGAGAGAAAAGACTATGAACAACATTGCGGCCGCATACATTTCATGTTTATGATTATAAACTAATTTTTAGTATTGACAAAGCTACCACAAAAGATGGTATAGATTATTTATTTGTATTTATTTATTATGTATTTAGTGTTACATAATTCGTAATTATTGTTAATTAATTAATTAATGTTAAAATAGTGTGAGTTAAACTGTTTATCCTCAAACTCAATCTCTGGGTTTTCTTGTCATTTTTATTATGTTTCCATTTATTATTTTTGGTTATAATGTGTTTTTGTATTTTATGGTTCGTGACAGATTTAATTAAACGGAATTTCCCCTGAAGAAGCTAAAAATGTTTTAGCGAAACGTTGGGCCAGAAAGTGAAATAACGTAGTTTTATTTGCACAAAACACTTAGATCGGACCAGCCTGGTAACAGCACTTAACGCCATAAACACCCAGATAACTCGTGGCCTTAACCGGAACCGCTCCTGTGAGAGAACTATTCTAGTATCGTTGGACCTGTCCAAGGCGTTCGACGCTGTCAGTCATTCAACGCTGCTAGAAGACACAGAGGCGTCCTCACTCCCACAGTGACTCAAACGGTGGTCGGCGAATTATCTAAGTGGTCGACACTCGTCAGTAACTTTTAGGGACAAAACCAGCAAACTAAGAAAAAATAAACAGGGGTACCACAGGGTGGTGTCCTAACCCAACTATTGTTTAATTATTATATTTCAAATCTCTCTCAACCACCAGAGGGCGTCACTATTGTCGCTGACGATTGCTCGATTATGGCGTCTGGGAATGGAATTGATGACTTGTGCTCGAAAGTAAACGGTTATCTCGCCGAGCTTTCTCGATTCTTCACTGCAAGGAGCTTTGCCCTATCCCCTGCGAAATCCTCGGTGACCCTATTCACCACCTTAATGCAGCATTCGAAGCATACGATTGTGGTTTTATGTAAAGTCATTCGTATCAACCAAGAATATCGTTGTTTTATTTAGAGTATTCAGCATTTTGTATTTAATTGTGGATATAATCCAGCATAACACAGAGAAAAGTCACATACAATTAACCGAAGTATAGATACAATTTCTTGAATATTGAGAAAAGCTAGCCCATTGTGTGCTCGTTCTCTTGACTGTAGAAAAAAAGCAAATCTGAGTTTTGGCTCATTTTAAATGGACAACGCGGGTTTCACTGTACTTGTATTTGTTTTTATGTTTTTTAGAAAAAATTAGGAACAAGTTGAATAAAATTTTTGAATGTTTATTATAGGCTTCAAAAAGAAGTGTCGTGGACACTGGTTATGGTGGCACACCAACTGTACATTGAATTCTTGTACAAAAATATATCTTTCTCATGATTCCAGAAAATTATAAAAATAATAAAACATTATAAAACTATTAGCACCAATAGCTGCCACTACGAAAATACAAATAAGCCCCAATGCTCGCTAGTGTTTTTTTTTTTAATTTTGTACGTTTCAAAAAATAAATAATAAGGATTCATAATCTAAGAAAAATACATTTTTAGAATAAAAACGTGTAATGTGCAAATATAGGATTTGACATAGAACGTGCATTTCATAAAACGCAAGTTTCATAAAGTGCACGCAACGCTCAAGTCAAAATCCAATGCATACTATAACATCTTTTGATTTGATTCCCTTCATTTGTGCTTGAATCGCTATTTTAAATTACTCTCGCTTTTTTATATAGGCCGAACCCATTAGCCGCTGCATCCACAATACCCTTCGTTCCCCTAATTGCAAGGAAAACAATGTTGTCACCATTAAGCTATTTCAATAAAAAAGTTTTACGGATATCTTAAATTTTTGTTTGTTTTATATGACCTTTTAACCATTATATTCAACAATTTTTATCGCTCTTGAGGACGTTTATAATGAAAAAATGTTGTCGAAAAACAATAATTTACCCATAGGTATAATTTACATAATACATAATTTACGAGGACAAAACGAAGTATCTCCTGTCATCCGACAAACAGTCAGAGCATACGCGTCTTGGCACCCACGTCACTGTTGAAAGTTACAAGTTTGAAAAGTAGACGACTTCGTTTATTTGGGAACCAGCATTAACACCAATAATAATGTCAGCCTTGAAATCCAACGGAGAATCACTCTTGCCAACAAGTGCTACTTTGGGCTGAGTAGGCAATTGAGAAGTAAAGTCCTCTCTCGTCGTACAAAGATCACACTCCACAAGTCACTCATCATGCCTGTGCTGGTGTATGGCGCGGCGGCATGGACAATAAAAGCATCTGATGAGGCGGCTCTTGGAGTTGGACCTTTACGCGTTGGCGATGGCGAATCTCGCAGACGATTTAACGATGAGCTGTATGAGCTTTACAACGATATAGACATAGTGCAGCGAATTAAAATTCAGCGGCTCCGCTGGCTTGGCCATGTCGTTCGAATGGACAGAAACGCTCCTGCTCTGAAAATATTCAACGCGGGCCGCGATGCTGGTAACAGAGGAAGAGGAAGGCCTCCTCTGCGTTGGAAAGACCAGGTTGAGAAGGACTTGGCTTCACTTGGCATTTCCAATTGGCGTCAGTTAGCACCGAAGAGAAATGACTGGCGTGCTGTTTTGGACTCGGCCAAAATCGCTTAGGCGGTTACAGCACCAATAAAGAAGAAGAAGATAATTTACATCTTCTATCACCACATCTCCTCATCAGACTTCTTCACCGCAGTCACTGGGATATGAACCATTAGAAACGGCTTCAAACTCAATAAAAATTGTTGAGATTTTAAAATATTTTTTACCATTATTATCTCAAACCAAATGATGGCAAATTTTTTTGTATATTTCCCTCCAACAGGGGATAATTCATGTTAGTCATAGTAAGATCGCCTTTTATAGAAATCTCTGAATGAATTTTGTCCACTTAGTTTGTTCCACATGATATACTGTGCATCGATATGTACACATACAACGTAATATTAGTGGTATTCGCGCTTCTGTGTATTCGCTGTATCCTGCCTAAGTGTAACTGGACGAGCTTGTGGTTGTTGTTGCATGTGTATTTCATGTACCGCTAGCAACAACAAATCACATGCTCATGCAGTTACGATTACACAACATACAACGAATACACATAAGAGCGAATTCCACTATAATTATAAATTTTCTAAGCATTGAACATTCCTTGTTTTATATAGTCAAACTTTTTTCGGTCTTCTTTTATGTTGGGTAAAAATAGTAGGGGATTTTGTGAGGAAACATATTTAAAAGCGTAGGGAAATGTGAAGATTCTATTTTTGTTGAGTGAGAATTTTCCAAAAAAGTATTAAACATCACTGCACCGAAGTAGCTTTTAGAATGTTTCGTTGCTGGTGTGTGGTACTACTAAGCACCATGTTCCGTGCCGCAGCGAAGTCGATCAGCCTCTCTCCGTTGTCAGAGCCCAGATACATATACGTAAATCGTGGTCCTTATATTGGTAAGCAAGGATCGTCAACGTTTGGGCGCCCAGCTATTCGAGGCACTTCCGGTCTTTTCATTGGTTTTTATTTTTTTTTACGTGGCGTGCCGCAAGCCAAGCGCACAACCCATTGCTGGGATTTTATTGCTGACTGGTGATGGCTTCTTTAGTTATCCAACAGAACTAATCGAAATTCGCTAAAATATTCTACATATGAAATTATTATGAACCTTAACAATTTTGTACAACAAAAACATCTTTTTCGTTTTCTGCGTTGTTAATTTTTCTTTTCTTTTTTTGCTCTCTTAACATACTTAAATGTTATCTATTCAAATTAAAAATAATAACTTCTCGTTAACCTTTCAGAAACAGAGATGAGCAACAGTAGTGATTCTATAAATAACTGCCAAAGTGCTGATTTTATATTCCGCAACCCGTGTTCGTATAGTTCACCAGTGGTTGAACAAGAAGATGTGGACGACAGGGATGATGATATGACTTTTTGCATGTCAAATTACGCCAAAGAAGTTTTAAAAATGATGTTTATGATGCGCTCGCATAATATGCTTACGGATGTCATATTAGAAGTAAAGCAGGAATTATTTCCAGCACACAAAGTCGTTTTGTCAGCAGCATCTCCATATTTTAAAGCTATGTTTACCGGCGGATTAAAAGAATCGGAGATGTCACGAGTTCAACTGCAAGGAGTATGTATAAAACTATAATATAAAACAGTGCCGGCCACACTAATCCTAAAACATCTGCATGACTGTGTGTGCCAAGCGCGTGAGAAGCGAAAGCATAACTTCGTGCATACACATCGTTAGCGTTGGTGTGAAAACGCTAACGAAAAACTACACAATGTGCAAGTTTTGGCCGGCATTGATATACAATTTAAAGACCTTTTTAATAATTACCAATTATTTTCCAAATTGAAGGTTTGCCCCACGGCAATGGGTCGTATAATATATTTCATGTATACAGGCCACATACGTGTTACAGAAGTAACGGTCTGCCAATTACTGCCTGCTGCAACGATGTTTCAAGTACCAAACGTAATTAATGCGTGTTGTGCCTTCTTAGAGAGACAATTAGATCCAACAAATGCTATTGGTATAGCAAACTTCGCCGAACAGCATGGGTGCTCAGAGCTTCAAAGGAAGGCTAACCATTTTATAGAAAGGCATTTTACACAGGTAATTAATGCCATTAGAGTAAGCATTCCAACGTGACAGCGGGAACATTTTAACTAATTTTTGTTCAAACTTAAGTAATTTCTCTTTGACCATTCATATGACAAGTTTCAAACTATTAATACTTGAAGTCAGATATCAAATTATTTCGAAACCACATTAAGTGAAATATTTATGGTTTGTCTAAAATTGGGAAAATACTTTATAATGTGATATCCAATAGGCATTAGATAGATATAGACATAGTGCAGCGAATTAAAATTCAGCGGCTCCGCTGGCTTGGCCATGTCGTTCGAATGGACAGAAACGCTCCTGCTCTGACAGACCTACTCTGCGTTGGAAAGACCATGTGGAGAAGAACTTGGCTTCACTTACCATTTCCAATTGGCGTCAGTTAGCACAGAAGAATTACTGGCGTGGCTTGGACTCGGCCAAAATCGCTTAGGCGGTTACAGCGCCAATAAAGAAGAAGAATAGGCTTTTGTTTTTGAACGCTGGCAACTTTTAGCCATAAGTGTATTTGTGTAATAACTCACCACTGTTTTAAAGTCTATGAAGTGTACTTTCTTTTTATATCCGAGCGCACAGGTGCACAAGGGTATTATAACTTTGTTCGCATTGCGGTTGTTTGTAACAGCCTAAAGGAATCGAGATAGATATAGACAAATGTATACATAAATGATCAAAATGAAAAGGGAAGTCGATGAAGTCATATCTGTCTGTCCGTGCGTCCGTCCGTCGAGCAAAAATTTAGATATTTCAACGAAATTTCGTATGTAGGTTGCCTTTTATCCAAGGTAGGTTGGTATTGAAAATGGGTGAAATTGGACTATAACCACGCCCACTTTTCATATCACGGTATTATCGAAATTTTAGTAAATATTGGATCCAAATTTTTGAAGTAGAATTTTGATACAAAATAATAGTTATGAAATTGTATGATGAAATGCTGTATCTCAATAGCCGCTTCACCAATCCTTACCAAACCCACTTTTCATATAACGGTATATTCGAACTTTAAGTAAATATTGGATCCAAATTTTTGAAGTGTTGTACATATTGTAATCGATAACTCTAAGCTGAAATGTATATCGGTTGACAAAAGCTTATCGCTAATAAAATCCTCACTCTCTCATCTCCTTTTGGCAAATAGTAAGATGTGCATTTTATTTCCTCATTATAAAATAAATTAATTACGGTTTGAAGCAATCGAGTAGAATGTGGATCATTAAATTAAATTCCGTACTGACACTACAGCTTGGCTTTACCAGATCAGCGGTTGACCAATGCGTTTATTTTAAGCATTCAGCTCAAAATATCATACTGGCTGCTTATGTTGACGATATTTTGATTTTCAGCGGTAACAATACAATGATAACAAAACTCAAAAAGGATCTGTCTAAGCACTTTAAAATGAAAGACATGGGAGCTGCAACGTCTGTGCTTGGGATTAACATCACTCGAAATCATGATGGATCAATCTCCATTGACCAAAAGCGATACTTGTCAGATATCTTACGTCGATTTAATATGCAAGATAGCAACCCGGTAGCTACCCCAATGGATCCAAATCAACGTCTATCAAAGGATTTGTGTCCAAAAACCGAGAAGGGGAAGCAGGTGATGGCGTTGATACCCTATCAAGAAGCGATCGGCTGAATTGTGTACGCTGCACAAATCAACCGTCCCGATATCGGTTTTGCGGTAAGCTCACTCAGCCTATTCAACACATGCCATGGTAAGGCGCACTGGGAGGCAGTCAAGCGAGTGCTTCGCTATCTAAAGGGCACAATTGACATGAAGCTGACTTACCGCAAAGACAGCGCTGGTCAATTAACTGGTTATTGTGATGCGGACTGGGCTGGCGACCAAGATGAACGTCGTTAAACATCTGGCTATGTTTTCCATCTACAAGGAGGCGCTATTTCGTGGGCCACTCGTAAGCAGCCTACGATTGCCTTGTCGTCCACGGAAGCTGAGTTTATGTCTCTTGTTGCGGCAATACAAGAAGCACTCTGGCTTAAACGTTTTGAGGGAGAACTCTTTAGGGACGTCCCGAGGTCAATACAAGTTTTCTGCGGTAATCAAGGCGCTATAAAACTAGCCATGAACAACAATTTTCACGCACGAACCAAACACATTGACGCGAAAACTTACTTCATACGCGAAAAGCTTACACAAGGCTTGATTAAATTAGACTATCTCAATACAAACAAAATGATCGCTGACATCATGACTAAGCCTGTAAATAATTCAAAATTGACTCAGTTTATTAACCAATATGGTTTATCATAAGATTTAAATTAACAGCCGTATTCTAGCAAACTCACAAACTTTAGCTCATCACTGATGTGATTTCTACTGCGCCTCAAAGCTTGCCGCTGCAATAAATATGCCGCTACAATACAAATTTTTAAATTTTTGTGTATTTTTCTAGTACTCAAAATCGAATTTTTTGTGACACATTTCTCGGCGCACTAGAAATTACAACAGTGATGAGCTGAGTTTTGTGACTCTCTTAAGGTATTGGCCCAATGCAGGCTTGCTTTGCTTGCCTCGCTTTGAGAACTGTCAAAAGTTATTTGGAATATACTAAAATGCATGATAAAAACATTACAAGGTAAATTCATTCTCTCATTTCGTCGGCCATGATTTTTTTCTGACGTTTGCCAACATTTTAAAATCATATAAAATTGAAAATAAAAAAATTAAATTGCTCACAATTGTTGTTGTTTGAGATTGAAAATGAGAATGTGTGTGTGAGTTTGAGTTTTGATTTTAAAATTATATTGTTGGCAAACGTCAGACTGCCTCTCAATGGTTTTACCTTGTTATGTTTTTATCATGCTAAAATGTATGAAGGCTGGCCAAATGGCAGCTTTGCTTCACTTGCTTTAAGCTCCTCAAAGTTTCAAATAGCAAATGTTTTATTTGAAAGCGTTTCGTAGGCTTTTGACAAAAAGGTATGTTCCCGTTCTAAATCAATTCAAACAAACTGCTGCACACTTTTATGTACACAATTTTTTTTACGTAATTAAAAAAAATATATATAATATAAGTTATTCAAAGTTTAATAAAAATGATTATATGTTTCCATATTTATATTTAACATATCGCCGGCTGAAAAGTTGCTAAGTCCATTTTTACAAATTTTACAGGAACTTTGAATACAACATTTTGCGTGTTTAAAGCAAAGCAAAACTCCATACGAATCAAAAGGATTCGATCTTTATTAAAAGATTTCGTACTATTTTGGCCTTATCGGATTTTCGGGGCCTCTTCTGGACTTAGAAAATTTGCCTTTCATTGAATATAAATAAGAAAAAATAAAATAAGTACATTAATCCTTAATTTCTCTTGCTAGCTAGCGATATTTATGATGTCAAACTACTGGTCAGTCGTCTCTTGAAGAATTGGATTTTTTTTTGTTTTTAATAAATGTACCTATAGTTATATATGTATAATTATTATCATTCCTTTGAAATGCATTCAAATTCGCATCAATTTAAAAATAAATTAGAAAAGATTGTTTGTATTTTTTTTAGTTTTCTGGAATTTTGTGGGAAATTATTCATAGTGTAAGGGAACAGACCTTAATTTTTTAACTACACAGCTGGTAGCTTTGACAGCGTTCCAAGCCGTCATTTGGCCAAACGAATTTTTAAAGTAAATTAAAGTAAGTAAGGCGTGCAAAGCAAGCTTGCATTGGGCCAGCGCCTTTAGAATAGAGGGGTAAAACTATTTTCTTTCATTGTCAGTAAAACATTAATTTCAGAATTTTTAGTATAGCTTTTGAGTGAGGGTGTTGTACATATTGTAATCGATAACTCTAAGCTGAAATGTATATCGGTTGACAAAAGCTTATCGCTAATAAAATTCTTACTCTCTCATCTCCTTTTGCCAAATAGTAAGACGTGCATTTTATTTCCTCATTATAAAATAAATTAATAACATGAAGTAGAATTTTGATACAATAGTTATGAAATTGTATGATGGAATGCTGTATCTCAGTAGCCGCTTCACCAATCCTTACCCAACTCGGTCGACACTTCCCTAGTATCTAGCTGAGAAATCTGTTGAAAATCTTTGAAATCGAGCAATAACCACGCCCACCTACCATAAACGTTAATTTACAAAAACACGAAAACTGCGATAAATCAGTAACTACTGAAGCTAATTCATTTAAAATCGATAATTGCAATAACTACTTAGCAGATAATTAGATTATTATAAACTAAGGGGTTAGGGGGCGTGGCTTTTTTTTATATAAAAGTATAGATCCTTTGTTAAAAAACTATGAAAATTCTGCAAAATTTTATCTAAATTTTTTAACTTTTTAATCCGATTTTTTAGAATTTTTTTGAGTATGCAGTTTTATAGCCCATTAAATTTTAGTAGAATAAAGTGTAAGTTTGAAGTTCGTAAAAAACTTTACACATAGATTAAATAAAAAACCTAGTTTCATACGGAACAATAAAATCATTCAACCTCATTGGGAGTATCGAAAAGTACATGGCATTGCCTAAAAAATGGGAAAACGTGGCAACACTGGATAGTTTTCAACTGTTTTCGTCGTCTACTTATTTCAGCAATAGGCAATGCTAATATGTCATGCATTTTAGTCTTATTTACGACGTACGCAATGAGGCTGTTTGTTTGTTCAGATTAATTACACTGTGCAAGTATAAAATGTAGGTTAAGGTTGTGATAGCTCGCGATTCTTGTCACCGATGCTGTTGATGTCATCGGCGTACGCCAGCAATTGCACGCTCTTGTAAAAAATTGCTCCTCAGCGGTTCAGTTCTGCAGCTCTTGTTATCTTCTCCAACATCAGATTAAAGAAATCGCATGAAAGGGAGTCGCACTGTCTAAAACCCCGTTTGGTAGCAAACGTCTCGGAGAGGTCTATCCCAATTCTAACGGAGCTGGGTGGTATTGCTCAACGTCGGTTTACACAGCCGTATCAGTTTCGCGGGGATGCCAAATTCAGACTTCGCGGCGTA